TTCTGGCACCTTTTATTTCCTGTCTTACCAGTACAGAGAAGGGCAACTTAGTATACATCATGATTAGGTACCACTGTAATTAACCTTTTGTTTAATTGTGCAATTAAAAAAAAAAACAATGCACGTGATGAAAATAGTTAAAATGTTATAGAAAAGTATAAAGTAAAAAGTCCGCTGGATGCGGTGGCTAACACCTGTAGTCCCAGCACTTTGGGAGGCTGAGGCAGGAGAATCACCTGAACCCGGGAGGCAGAGGTTGCAGTGAGCCAAGATCGCACCTCTGCATTCCAGTGTGGGTGACAGAGTGAGATTCTGTCTCAAAAAAAAAGTCAGTTTTTCCCGAGCTGCCCCTAATCCTCTGCAGAGGCAACCGCTGTTACAGTTTGCCTTGAGTTTTTATTGTGGATATTACCATTTTAACCCCTTCCAGTTTAAGCTAAATAACTTAAACGCCTAACCCCCAGTTCTTGGTTTATCAACACAGGCATCCCCAATGTAAAAATGAGGACTTGGACCCTCATAAGCCTTCCTCACGCTCCCTCTCCCTCCACACGTCCCAGTGTATTTCTTTGCAGATCAGCTTTAATGAGCTGTCATTTATCTACTTACAGTGTATAGTTCAGCAGTGTTTAGTGTCGTCACTGCGCTATGCCGCCATTGCCACTCTCAGTTATAGAAAATTCTCACCAGCCCCAAAAGAAACCTTGTACCAGTCAGCTCTAAATCTTCATTTCCTTCCACCCTATGCAACCTCTCAACTACTTTCTGTCTCTCTAGATTTCCCTATTCTAGACTCTCCTATGAATGGAATCTTATATCGTGGTCTTTGTGATGGGCTTCTTCCATTTCACATAATGTTTCAAGGTTCACCCATGTTGTCACATGTAAAGCATTTAATTCCTTTTTATGGATAAGTAATATTTCATTGTATATCTGTACCACATTTTGTCTGTCAGTCAGTAGACATTTAAGTGGTTTCCATTTGTTGGTGGTTATGACTGATGTGACATTTGTGTGTATGTTTTAGTGTATTGGTGTGTTTTTATTTCTTTTGGGTTTATACTTGAGTGGGATTGCTGGGTCACGTGGTAACTGTCTGACAACTTTTAAGGTAACTGTTTAACCTTAAGCATTGCTTTCCAAAGTAGCTTCGCCACTTGGCACTCCTATTTGCAGTGTGACAGGGTTCCCGTTCTGTCATGTCTTTGCTGACATTTGTTATCTGTCTTTTTGATTATAGCCATCGTAGTAGGTGTAAAGTGGTAACTCATTTTGGTTTTGATTGGCAATTCCCTGACAGCCATAGTGTTGAGCATCTTTCATGTACTCATTGGCCATTTGTATATATCTTCTTTGGAAAAATGTTTATTATTAATTATCCCTACTTTAATTGGATTACTTGTCATTTTACTGAGTTGTAAGAGTTCTTTATATATGCATGATACAAGTCCCTTATCAGATGGATTGTTTGTAACTGTTTTCTCTCATTCTGTGGGTTTGCTTTTGCTCTTAATGATATCCTTTGAAGAACAGAAGCTTTTCATTTTGATGAAGTCTATTTTTCTGTTGTTGTTGTTCCCTGTGTTATATCTAAGAAGATTTTGTCCTACCCAAGGTCATGAAAATGCACTTTTTTTTGTTTGTTTGTTTTGAGACAGAGTCTTGCTCTGTTAGCCAGGCTGGAGTACAATGGCACAGTCAGGGCTCACTGCAACCTCTGTCTCCTGAGCTTAAGTGATTCTTCTGCCTCAGCCACCCAAGTAGCTGGGATTACAGGTGTGCACCACCATGCCTGGCCTTAATTTTTGTATTTTTAGTAGAGATGGTATTTTACCATGTTGGCCAGGCTGGTCTTGAACTCCTGACCTTAGGTAATCCACCTGCCTCAGCCTCCCAAAGTGCTGGGATTATAGGCATGAGCCACCGTGCCTGGCCTCCTATATTTTCTTCTAAGAGTTTTATAGTTTTAGCTCTTACATTTGAATCTGTGGTACATTTAAAGCTAATTTTGTGTGTGGTGTAAGGGAGGAGTCCACATTCACTTTTTTTGCCTGTGGACATCCAGTTGTTCCAGCACATTTGTTGAGAAGACTCTTCTTCCATGGGTGGTCTTGGTACCCTATTGAAAATCAGTTGACCACAAAATATGAGGGTTCATTTCTTGATTGTCAACTCTATTCCATTTACCCGTATTTCTATTCTTAGATTGGTACAAACTGTTACGATGACTATAGCTGTGTACTACGCTTTGATGTAGGAAAGTAGGAGTTCTCCAGATTTGTTATTTTCAATATCGTTTTGGCTATTCTGCTTCTGTTGAAATCTCAAAAGAATTTTAGGATCAGCTTGTTAATTTCTGCAAAAAAAATCTAGGAGCTTGATAGGGATTGAATTGAATCTGTAGTTCAATTTGGTCAATATTGGTACCGTAACAATATTGTTTTCCAATCCATGAACATGTGGTGTCTTTAAATTTAATTTCTTCCAGCAATTTTGCAGTTTTCAGGGTTAAGTTTTGCACTTTTGTTAAATTTATCCCTAAGTGTTTTATTCTCTTGATACTATTGTAGATGGAATTGTTTTCTTATTTCATGTTTGGATTGTTCATTGCTAATGTGTAGAAGTGTAGTTGACCCCTGAGCAACATAGGTTTGAACTCTGTGGGTCTACTCATATGTGGGTCTACTTATATCTGGATTTTCTCCTGTTTCTACTGTCTCTATGACATCAAGATCAACCCCTCTTCTTCCTCCTCCTCAGCCCACTCAATGTGAAGATGATGAAGATGAAGACCTTTATGGTGATCTACTTCCACTTAATTAATAGTAAATATATTTTTTATTCCTTATGATTTTCTTAGTATTTTTTCTTTAGTTTACTGTGAGGATACAGCATATAATATATATAATATACAAAATTTGTGTTAACTGCTTACATTATCAGTAAGGCTTCTAGTCAACAGTAGGTTATTAGTTGTTTAAATTTGGGGGGAGCTGCCTGGGTGTGGTGGCTCATGCCTGTAATCCCAGCCCTTTGGGAGGCCCACTGGGGGGCGGATCACTTGAGGTCAGGAGTTTGAGACCAGCCTGGCCAACATGGCAAAACCCCATCCTTACTAAAAATCCAAAATTAGCCAGGTGGTGGCACATATCTGTAATCCCAGCTACTTGGGAGGCTGAGACAGGAGAATTGCATGAACCTGGGATGCAGAGGCTGTAGTGAGCTGAGATGGCGCCACCACACTCCAGTCTGGGTGACAGAGCGAGACTCCATATCAAAAAAAAAAAAAAAAGTTTTAGGGGAATCAAAAGTTATACACAGATTTTTGACTACATGAGGAGTCCGCACCTCTAACCTCCACATTGTTAAAGGAGTTCGCACCTCTAACCTCCACACTGTACAGTTGATTTTGTGTGTTATTCTTGTATGCTGCAACTTTGCTGAATTTGTTTATTAGCTCTAATTGTGTTTTGTTTTTGTTTTTGTTTTTTTGAGGCAGAGTTTCACTCTTGTTGCC